GTGAAATTCAATTCAGGTCAGCACTTGAAAGCGGCAAGGGCCCAGGCTGAGTGGGGGAAGCGGTTTCACCAGTTTGCTAAAAATAAGGCTCGGGGATTATCTATAGGTTTCAATTAGCCAGGAGAGCAAGCAGGTTGCTCAGTTACCATGAATAATCAAGATGGGGTGTATAGCCCGAGATAAATGATACTTCGTGCCCAGCCCACCTTTTCACAGAGGACACCCAGCCTGCCCCTTCTCAGGGCAGACAACAGGGGCCACTCCCCACACCTCCCGGGAGGAGAACCCGGGGCACGGATGACCACCTCGTGGCCCTGGGACAGCCTCCAGCGTGCACACCGCTGTAGTTGAGCCCAGCCTGTAGCAGCGCCTCCACACACCCGCAGAGAAAATTTGGGGTTGTGCTCCTCTTCATGGGCACGGTTCAGCACTGTTGTGCTGACTCAAAGCGCCCTTTGAAGTCCTTGGGACTTGAGGATCAGTGAACACTGAGAAGCGAGCCCTACGTGCCAATTTCCATCATTCACAGAGACTTCAAAAAGATGAGGCAGGGTAGGAAGGTCAAAAAAGACCGTGCCTGCGGACTGCAGCACGCAATCTCTGAAATTACAGGCATAGCCTGTCACACGCGGCTCCTGGAGCAGGTGCCTTTGCCGGACGCCTCTCGCTTGCCAAGAAATCCCTGCTGAGGGTTAATAGGAGTATCCAGTTCCCTAAGCATTTCTCGTGCCTCAGAGCTATTACCCCTAAATTTCTAGCACTTAAAAAAAAAAATTACAGGATTTAGCACCTGTTTGTCTCCAAAATACTTGCTAAAAACGGATCTGCCAAAAGGCCACCTCTAAAATTAGTCATACTTCCTGCTCTGAAAAACATAGTAAATTCTATTTTTAGTAACTCCTTCACTCCAGGTACCTGGCGCTGTCATGCTCGGGCACAATTATTGGAAACTTACTAAGCAGGCAACCCTTATTTTGAGCCCCAAAATAGCTCCAATGAAAATGATTAACAGGCTTTAAAAAAAAACAACTAAGGGTTAGAACAAGGAATTTAAGCATCTTAACCAATCATTTTACGTACCTAACTTCACAGAGACTTAATCACCAAAAAAAAGTAATTGCGGCAATAACTATTTTCCCCTTCCTGCAGTTTTGCCTGTTGGTGAAAACAGCTCTATACCTGAAGGCACCTATGTTCATCCCTGTCAGCCTCTCCAACTATACTTTCTTCATGTTTTAAATGTGATAACCTTGGGTTTTCCTGGTGCTCCAGCGGTTAAGGATCCACCTGCCAATTCAGGGGACCCGGGTTCGAGGCCTGGTCCGGGAAGATGCTGCAAATCGCTAGGCAACGGAGCCTGTGAGGCTCAACCACTGAGCCCACGCCCTGGAGCCCATTTCTCCACTACCGCCCTCCTGCGCTGTGATGACTGAAGGCTGTGCACCTGGGGCCCGTGCTCCGCAGCGAGAGAAGCCACTGCAATGAGAAGTCCGTGCACCAACAAAGAGCAGCCCGCACAGCCATAAAGAAAGAAATAAATACTTTTGAAAAAATAACTACAATAACCTATCAAGTGCCAGAGACTCTGCATTGCCCAGTATTGGGGACCAGTACCAGAGGCCGTGAGCACACCTCCCCTCTAGGTCTTTCCAAGTTATCACTTCATACTCCTGCAGAGCAACTTCATTCTTTGTCTCAAAGCCACTGAGAATCCTTTTCAAAGTCTGATCCTGTCATCATTTTTTCTCCTCGTCTAATCATCAACTTAGTCAAAGACAAGACTGCGAATGTGCCGGTTAAGAGTTTCACATGATCTAGTGAATGATTTATTTTTAAAGCCACATTAAGGGAGGCTGTACCAACTGAAAGCTCCTGGAGGACAAAATTAAGTCCTGCCCAGAGCCATCAGTTTTTTTCAAGCAGTAAAAGGGCCAACGGGATTCTAGTGACTTTCAAACAACTTTGGAAGAGGTATGCAAAAGAAAAGCCGGCTTGGGGGACCGGGGGTTCAGAAATACTGCCCTGCAGGCAGTGATGGGAAAAGGTGCCTCTTGATGAGAGGATTGAATGAAAGTTAGGAAAAAGCATCTCGTTTTGTCAACCTGATTCAGACAGTAATTCCCAGCATGCCACGGAGGATGGCACCCACTCTGGGGACATTTCATTTCCCTTCCTCCAGGTCCTGTCACCTCCAGGTGTCCCCTGGCTTGGCTCTCAGGAGTAACCACTCTCTGGGTGAAATCTCTGTTAATAGGTCACCTTTTAAAGAGACCAGGAAGGCTGCAAACTGTGTGAGGTTGATTTCACCTTTGTTTTGTTCTTAGTAAGACCAGTAACCAGCACATGAGTGGGGCTGGGGACTCATCAACTCAGCAGTCCTTCCTAGGTAGAGTCATGTACACATACACACGCACACTTTAGTCTCTGCTGCTGCTGCTGCTGCTAAGTCGCTTCAGTGTCCTACTCTTATGCGACCCTACAGACGGCAGCCCACCAGGTTCCCCCCGGCCCTGGGATTCTCCAGGCAAGAACACTGGAGTGCAATCTGCCAAAAACCCGAATCTATTAGTTAAGCGTTAAGACGTTATTGGATCTGTGAGATACCAGCTATGAACACCCATCGTTTCTTTAAAGCTCGCCATTAAGTGAACTAAAATCCAGACTTCTCAGGAGGCTTGCAGTCAGTCCCGGAGCCCCTGATTCTCCGGGCTGAAGTAGGGCACACATCAGAAATATCTCCCAGTCTCCTCCACCACTCTAAGATCCACCCTCCTTAATTAGATTCAATCAGTTAGTCCAGCGCAATAATTTTACGTCCAATTAATTGGTCCTCCCCTTGCGGAGAGGAAGTGAGATGCAGCGTTTGAAAAAGACAAGATGAGATAAACGGGCGTGAGCCCGTGAGGGGTGCGGGGGGGGGGGGGGGGTGGTGGAATCCTCACTGGCCCCCATCCGGGCAGGAATTCCTCGCATTCCAGAGTGCCTGGGGGCCCAGCCCTGAGCTCTAGAACCTCAGCACCCGGCTAGGGGCTGAGCTCGGAGTACAGCCCCGGGCAGTTCAGCCAAAGCTCACCCCCTGACGTTAAGAGCGAAAGGGCAGCGGCGAGGAGCCGAGCCACGCAGGAGAGAAAGACGGCCCGAGCAAGCTGAGCGGCAGGCAGGGGGAGCGCGCGCGCCTAAACGTTGCCCATTATGCTGTGAGCAGAGCACCTCGTCTCTTTCTGCTAAGTTTCAAAGAGGAAACGGACCTAACCAGACTGACTCCTCTACATTTCGAGTGAAAAGAAAGTTCTACCACCCGTGCCAGGCGCGGGGAAGTGAGCGCACTGTAATTAGCTAGCCGGACCCGCGGGCATCCCCGCCTTCGCCCAGACGCGACGGGTTAAGTTCCCAGCCCACTGCCAACCCAGGAGGAAACGGCGCTGCCGCTCACTTTGGACTAGAAGGAGGTTTGGAGGGTTTTTCTTCTTGAAAGAGCTCCTCCATTCAGCGAGTTCCTCTCCCCAACACTCCCCCTTGTGCATGGAAATTCAAGCCAGAGGCACTTTGAAAACTAAGCACTGCTAACCCCACTTACCCGAAACAAAGGGCACCCCACCTGGAGAGGCTGGAGGAAGGGAACAAGCGACAAGGCCGATGAAGACCATGCCAGGGACATGTCACATGCCAGGGGCTCCAGCTCACACTAGTGACCTGGGGAGGAAGATTAAAGCCAAGAGAAGCTGGGGACCAGACGGGCAGGGAGCTCGCTCTGGGGTCAGAGGGCCCACAGCAGAGCGGCCGGGCCCCCCAGGCTGGCAAAGGACCCCAGGGCAGAGGGTGGCTGGGCAGGTGGGAAGCTTGGAGCCTCCCTGCCTTTCCCAAACTGCTGGCGTCTCTCTCTCTGAATGGGCCACCGAAGGGGCTGCTCCCCACCGGACCTGGGCTGAGCAAGCCCCAGCCTGGGGGTGGGGGTGGGGGAAGCCTTGAGTCTGAGATGACCATGAAGCTCTAGCCTGAAGTGGCTCCAAACGTAGGGTAACTCCCAGCCTAGCTTGCGCAGCATCTCAAAAGTAAGTCATCCTATGTTGAGTTTCTTCTCACAGATATAAGTGAACAGCTGAGGTCTAGCAGGGCCTTGCCTGACACGGGCTCACCCCGCTAACTTTTCACGGGGCTGGAGGGGGTGCCCCTCCAGGTGTCTGGGGCGGGGGCAGGACTTCCTTTGCTTTCCTGGCTTCTAGAAGATGAGAAGGCCTCTCCCAACATCTGAAGTCTGGAGGTATCAATGCCAGTGGCTCCCACCCAGCGGCGGGAGTGAGGAGGAAAGGAGGGGGTGGGATGTCTGGGGGTGAGGTGGGGGTCATCCAGGACGCAGGAGCGGGAAGGGTGGGTGGCGGGAAGGGCGGCGTGTGAAAACCCTCCTGTGACCAGGTAAAACGTGCCCTAGCTCCGCACCCCACAGGTGGCAATGTCCCTGGGGTCTCGGCCTTCCTCTGCCTCCTCCCCAGAGCCCGCGAGGGGGTTCAGGCTCTAAATTGGCCCCCAAGGGCTGGCTAATCGGCTCTCCCACCTTCAACCTCAGGGCCCACGCACTCCAGTCCCGGGTCCAGCTTCTCCACTGATCTTGCCGCCCCTATCGGACCGAGAGCAGAGTCCCCCCACTGCACCCCAACCCAGCGCTGGTGTCCGCCAGGCGGCGCCCTTCGAGATACAAAAAGCTGCCGGCGGCTTCGCGGGGAAACCAGTAGCCCCCCATACCCCACAGGGGAAAGTGACCCCAGATAGCCCCTCTGGGAAATGCCAGTATCCTGGTCTGCGAGAGCTGGCGCGCGCGTTTGGCTCGACCCCGCGTTCAACCCGAGAGGAAAAGCAGGCGGAGCGGGGAGGTGCGGGGCCAGGGCTCCGCGGCCGGACTCGCAGCACAGGGCTGCCCGGAGGGTCCCCGCCGCTCCTCCCGCCCCGATCTCCCGTCCCGGGCGGGGGGCGGGGGTCCAGGGCCAGCGCCCCGGGCGGCTCACCTTCTCTCCGGTCAGCACGTGCAGCCCCTCGCGCACCTTGGCGAAGGAGCCCTCGCCCAGCTTCCTGCTGCCGATGAGGTAGTTGCCTACGCGCTTGTGGTGCTGGAAGTCGCGGAGCCGCTCTCGGGGCACGCCGCTCACCCAGGCCGGCAGGAAACTTCCTTCGCAGGCGGCCGCCGGCCTGGCCGCGTCCTCGGCGCCGCCGCCGCCGCCGCCGCCCCCGGGCGCCGCCGGCTCGCCCAGGAGCCCGTCCCCCGCCGCCGCCGGCATCGCGCCGCTCCGGCTCTTCTCCCGCGCTCGCGGCGGCTCCTCCTCTTCGGCCGGCTCCCCGGGCTCCTCCCGCCGCCGCCGCCTCAGCTGCCTCCGGCCCGGCCCCGCCCGGCCCGCCGCTCCCGCGCCCCGGGCCGCCGCCGAGCGCCGCGCGCAGACAATAGCGGCCGCCGGGGCCACGGGGTACCGGGGACCCGCCCCCCACCCCTAAGAAGTTCTTCTTCGGAGGCTTGCGGAGACCCTGCCCCGAGTCCCGTCCGGGCGGCTAGTGACCGTCTCCCGGCCCGGGTGCGCGGGGAGCGCGCCGGCCGTGGAGGGGCTTTGAGGAGGCTAGAGGCGCGATCCGGCGCCGGGTCCCGGAGCCGAGATGCCTGGTCCCGGAGCCCGGGGCGCCTCGACCGCCTCCGCCCTCGCCGCCGCCGGCTGGCCCGCACGGACGCGGGTCCAGCTCGCTGGTTCCTAGCTGCGCGCCGGGCGGCCGCTCCCGCCCGAGAGCCGGCGCGCGCGGCAGGCTGCAGGCGCCCTCTGGAAGGCAGCAGAAGAAAGCCCCATTCAGTTTGAATTTGCAGAAATTTAATCCGGTCGCGGGCGGCGGGAACAGATGCGAGCTCCACTCCGCAGCGTGTGCACTTTCAAATCCCTCGTAGCCCCTCCTTCCCCGCGCGCAACAGCCAAACTCGACCCTCGCCGGAGAGGGGAGGGCCCTGGGAGGGGGGCGGCGGGGCCACCTGAGCTCCAGACTGGGGGGGACCCCGCGCGGCCTCTGAGACGCGCGCTCCCGGGCCGCCCAAGTCGGGCCGCCTCCGCCTGTGCCTCTCGCCCGGCTTCTAGGCTTGGGCTTTCTGGACCTTTCAGCGAAGAAATCCGCCACCAGCAGCCGCACCCACCTGGGGCAGGAGGAAGGGAAGGAGGCGCTCTCGAAGCCCGTGGACTGTGGTTTAAGTGCTCGGTGTCCAGCCCCGGGCCCCGCACACAGTAGGACCCTCTGGACCCCGGATGGATGGATAGATGGATGGATGGATGGATGGATAGAGGGATGGGTGGATGGATGGAAGAATGGAGTGGCTGGCGAAAGCCTGGGCTCACACCAGGCGGGCACGCGGTGTTGGAGGAGGAGCAGCCGCAACAATAATAGTAGCAGCAGCAACGTAGGAATCAGGGCGTTTGCTCCCTCTGCTAGTACATTACACCTTCGCTGCTTTCCATTGAAAAGATGCCGGTGATTGCAGGACGCGGTGGACCAGCGCTCCCTGCTCCTGGAGGCTTTTGTTCTGAGGCGCCGGGACCCTGCTCATCCCTGATGAATAAGTGCAGCCGCCCTGACCACTCTGATCCTCTCCGGGATCCCCAAAGTCTTCTCAAAGCAAAAAATGAGGGCAGGGAGGCGGGGGTGGGGAGGGGAGGGGTGGTAGGGGGAGATACACCCCTTTTGTATTACAAAATGCAACCTGTTGAGCAGCCAGATAAAAGGCGCCAGCGTTTAATGCATACTTAACCACCACCCCGCCCCCCGTCAGAGTTACAGCATCAGAGCTGAAAGGCAGGATTCGGTCCTAACCGAGTTCCTTTCATTGCTAATTCCTTGGTAAACAATTATGGCACGATCCACGTCAGTGTTCTGAGATTGGGGCGGGGCAGGATGAGAAAGGGATGCTAGGCAGTCATTAATCCAGTGTCTCCGGGGCTTTCTGACCCAGAGAAACGCCTATTTTAAGTAGATCTCATTTCAAAAATGCTATAATCAGCTACTCACGGGTTATGACTGAGGTTGTTTTCCATCAGCCTTCTTGTCGTTCCCTTTTCCCAATATTAAAAATACACTTTAAAAATGTTCTTCTTGCTGTGCTTAAAGGGCTTCTTTACCACCTCTCCACTCCCATATTTGCAAGACCAATGTAGTCACAATAATGTCTCAGATTCAATAATCAAGTATTAGGACAATGGAAGGCGGGGGAGAGAGAGGCTGTATGACCAGCATCGTGCCTGAAGAGTGAATGTTCAACAAACATCTCATGGATGACAAATACGGAGCTCACTTTGGGATCAAAACCATTCTGCCTCTTCTTTCAGAGACAGGTTTTAGTTTCCCCAATTAATAGCATATGTATTAGTAGAGTATTGCTCTTCAGTCGCCAAGTCCTGTCTGACTCTTTGCCGCTCCAGGTACTGCAGCACACTAGGTTTCCCTGTCCTTCACAATCTCCCGGAGTTTGCTCAGACTCTTGTCCATTGAGTCACGGATGCCATCCAACCATCTCATCCTCTGTTGCCCCCTTCTCCTGCCTTTCCCAGCATCAGGGTCTTTTCCAATGAGTTGGCTCTTCACATCAGGTGGCCAAAGTATTGGAGCTTCAGCTTCAGCATCAGCCCTTCCAGTGAATATTTAGGGTTGATTTCCTTTAGGATTGACTGGTTTGCTCTCCTTGCTGTCCAAGGGACTCTAACTTTCTTTAAATTTTTGAATAATTAGCTCTGTATGAAAATGTAGAAATTACTTTCTTATAATGTAAGGCAAATGTCAGAGACAGTTCATCAAAGTGTCTTTATGGCCTAAAAAAAAAAAAGCTAGCTGATTCTTCCAAATATTGTGGAAGACATTTACAATGAAATAGAGATTTCTTTCCTTTTAATTATCCTCTTGGGGTGAAGGTCAGGAAAGGAGTGAAAAAGAGAGAAAATCCAAGCCCGTTAAATCTTTTTCAAGCCTGATACCTGGGTTTGATTCAAGTTAACTGCTACATCATCCCGTCAGCTGGGATGGATGCCAAAGAGATGTCCAGATCCTACCCTTCCTGGGCTTAGTAACTGGTGTTTGAACTACAGGTCCTGTTCTTTGAAATGACCTTGTTTAATAAGGAATAACCCTAGAAATCCCGTTATGTAGGACAGATGAGTACCCAAAACAATGGGCTGCCCTCATATGAGACAGAAATGCAGAAAACACCTGGTTGAAAGCAGAGTCCAGCACTGAAGATTCTCTACTATCTCAAACTCTATTTCTTATCCGCCTGTGGGACCTCCCTGGGAACTACATTTCAGCTGTCTTCATCTGGATGGGGGTTCCTCACCTCTGCACCTTTGCCTCTGCCATGAACTTGCCCAGTCAGCTGCCCCGACCCCATTTCTAACCAACACAGGCTTTCCCTTCCCCACGAAGCCCCCAACCATCAATGAGCTGCAAGAGGCTAATTTCTCCTCCTCTCTTATTCCACAGCACTCATTCTTCTTAAGTCCTATATTGTTGTTTTTTAGTCACTAAGTCATGTCCGACTCTTTTGCAACCCCATGGACTGTAGCCCACCAGGCTCCTCTGTCCATGGGATTTCCCAGGCAAGAATAAATACTAAGATGAGTTGCCATTTCCTTCTCCAGAGGAATCTTCCTAACCCAGGGACTGAACCTGTGTCAAGTGTATTCTTTACCACTGAGCCACCGGGGAAGCCCTCCAAAGTCCTATGTTACTTCCTATTGAATGTCTTGCTTCTCTTTTAGACTCTTTGCAAATGGGAGCTCCCTTATTTTATATGTTACTGATATTTGCCCTAGAGCACCTAGCATAGTGCCTGAAACATGGCCATTCTTAGGTATGTATTTATTGCATAAGTGAAAGCAATTGTTCACGGATTCTCAAATGAGCAGAGCTTCGTTGCTCCAGACAGAAAGATACCCCTCTGTCCTGGGGGAAAACATTTCTAACAGCTTTCTAAAAGCACTGGTTGCCTATGAGTGGTCAACAAATATAACTGTCTTGTCAGAGATGGACAAGTCTCTAACTTAGATGCATTAACCCTTCAAAAAAAAATTTGACGACGACAGTGGGCTAGAAAGGCATGAAAAGCTTTCTCAGTTGACTTGTACCAGCTGCTTCCTTCCTCCCTGTCGTCTCCTCCATCTCCTCCCACCATATGGCTGGGAGACAGTCTGTGTGCTCCCACAGAACGCCAGCTAGGAGACCCAGCTGGAAGCAGTCAAAGACAATTAGAAGTAATCAGGCTGGCATGGCCAGGAAATGAAAGTTGGCTGGAGGAAGTTAGGCTGGCAGAGCCGGCTGGTGACTGGAGAAGGAAAGTGAAGACAGCAGGCACGAAGAAACGTTGCCTGGAAGACAGTTCTCTGAATGCTACCCATTGATTCTCCCCAAAGAAAGCTGTCGGTTAATCATAGAGGCAGGGCTCGAACTCCTAGTCCCCAGAGTTCATGTCCACGGTGATCTTTTCACAGCTCAAGGCTGAGGAAGGCGGGGTCCCCTCCAGCACAGGCTGGGGTGTAGAGGCAACTTAGCCTGGCTCTGGAGGGCAGACGGCATGCAGCACCTAGCCATAAACTCCTTGTCTGAAAGTGAGTCGTGACTCGCCCTCTCCCCGTCCCCCAGTCTCCTCCATCTATAAAACTGGGGTATTGAGAAAGCGTGAGGATTCAGCGAGATGATGCACACAGAGCAGTCAGCCCAGAGCCTGGCACTTAGAAGCACCTGGTAAATTTTAGCTCTCACCCCTTCAGTCAATACTGGCATCATCACGACACTTGGGAGATGTCACTCCAGAATGCCAAAAATGCAACTGCCCTTATCATGGAGGAAGCCAAAGCATTTCCTCCAGTTTGGCTCACTTCCCTAAATCCAGAGTCCTGTGACCAACCCCCTTCTTCTCCACCAGGCTGTCTGAAAGGATCTCGGACTTACACTGGGCTCAGCGCGTGCACACACACACTCACACACCCTGCCCTACTCCATTCCTAGGGCTTCACCCGAATTCACCCCAAATTTAAGAGTCGTCCTCCGCTTTCCTCCTCCCTGAGTCTCATATCCAGTCCCTCAGCAAATGTCAGCTCCGTTCAGTTCGATCGCTCAGTCGTGTCCGACTCTTTGCGACCCCATGGACTGCAGCACGCAGGCCTCCCTGTCCATCACCAACTCCCAGGGTTGACTCGAGCTCATGTCCATTGAGTCGGTGATGCCATCCAACCATCTCATCCTCTGTTGTCCCTTTTCCTCCCAAACT